ACAAAGATGCGCTCAGAACACACACTTGGAAGTTTCAGTAGACGTAACAGGAAGTCACACCAGAGCCCAGGCCACCAAGAACCAGCCAGGAACCTGTGCAGGCCAGAGCCTGTGGGCAGGGGCAGGGGAGGGCGGGGGAGGCCCGCTGCGCCGGGAGGGCTGTGTGGACACACGTGCAGGTGACCCTGTCACCGAGTTCTTTCTATCCAAAGCAGAGGGCCCTGATGGGACTTCTGCCACCAGCCTGAGGGACAGTGACATGCAGAGCTGCCTCTTACGGTCTGTCACTCTGCCTTTACAGCCACTGAGCATGTTGTCCCATTGCCGTGGCCACTTTTGTCCAACACGACACACCCTTCTGACTCAAACACCCTGTCTGCTCCCCATGGTCAGTCACAGATGTGTGGTTCAGGCTCCTCCCTGTGTCCTAGCTGGCTGTGCCAGGTGAGGAAGCTGTGACCTCACGGCCTGTCAGTAAATGAGGAGCCTGGAGCCAGCTCCCAGAGAGGTCCTCAGGCCAGGGGAACAGGCGGAAGCGGCCAGGCTTCCGGCACCGCCGTCCTTGCACTGCCAGAGTTTGGTTCTCACGTAACCTGGGGCTGCCCTGCAGGGATCTCAGGTCGGCCGGTCCCTAGGGCCTGTGGTGAGCAGGCGGCGGCACCCAGTTTGGGGTCCCTTCAGGAGCCACTTCTGAGCCTCTTCCTGTTCCTGACTCTGCTCCCTGCCGCTGTTTACAAAGGCTGCTTTTTAAAACCATGGAGCTGTGGGGGACAGGAGAGGGAATCCACCCAGCATGGTGGAGCCACGAGGAGGCCAGCACATCCAGGGGCCTTTCAGGGTGCCCGGTGTGCCAAAGGAAGTTGTGCCATGCCAGGACATTTCCTTCCTGTGATGACAAAAGTGGATAGTGCCTCACATCAGTCAGCTCCCAAATATTTACAGGAACCTGTAATGGATAAAGGCCATGACACGTCCTCCCATGCCACAGCTTCTGGGGCTGGGGACTGGTCTACACTCTGTGACACCCTACAGTTGGGGCAGGAAGGATCCCTCGGTGCAAGTGACATTGCCACGGCCTCATCTCACTGTGCCACGCCCAGAGCCAACCTCTCCGGTCCCGCCACACATGAGCGGCTCGGTGCTGGACATCATCCCAGAGACTTGGGGGCTGCTGACAGACCCCCAGCCAGGGCTGACCCTCCTGGGCAGTGGTGTCTGCAGACCACCTACTGCGCTCCCTTCCTGGAGAACCTTGTGTGCTTCCCAGTGCCCCTGCAGGGCCCTTGCCAGCATTTCCACGTTGGAACCAGCGCACACAGTGGCCTGGAGGAGGCCAGGCAGCAGTGCATCAGCCTCTGGGCAGCTGATTTCTGGGGCCTCGTGGCCAGGGAAGGACTGTAATGGAGACTGGGAAAGGTGGCTCCTAGGTGCCAGGTGGAGAGACAGCATATGTCCCCGCCACCCACCCTGCTTCCCCCCTACAGAGTGGCTCAGCCACCTCGAACACCCCACGTATGTTGGGTGGCCCCACAGCCTTCCAGCCAGGCTGCCCCCACAGGCCCTGCCTCCCCCTGGGTTATGGAATGCACGAGGGTGGACAGGGCATGCCTGTGACTTCAGCCACCCTTGGCTCGAGGGCCTTTGAGTTCTTTGGCCTCATGCCTCAGTCTCCCCCAGTGGGGTCTGTGTGATAGATCAGTGGCATGGTGACCGCCAAGGGCCTAGCATGGTACATGTCCCAGATGCCCTCTGTGAGAGGGCACTAGGACTCAGTCGTGGCCTTTGAGGGGCCCACAGCTGCAAGTCAGTGGGCCCGGGCAGGACAGGCCTGAAGAGATCAGGACCTGGGAGCTGTACTCTCCCCAGGAAATAAGGTAGTGCTGTCTAGCGGTGAGTCCCCAGCAGCTTTCGGGTCCCCTCCCCACCAATACTTTTCTCTTTTTTTTCCCAGAGCACTGGAGATAGAACCCAGGGCTTCATGCTGAGCACTCACCACTGAGCTACAACCTCAGCCTATTACTTCACATCGTTTTGAGGCAGTCTTTCGTTGCTCAGGCTGGTCTTGACTTTGTGATCCCCCTGTCTCAGCCTCCTGGGAGGACAAGCCCATGCCAGTGTGCCTAGCCTCTTTAAACCCTTAATTCATAAGATCAAGCCGCCCCCACCTGGTCACTGAGCCCACAGTTGGCCCGGTTACTTTCTGTGTCCTATTGATCTGGTTTCCTAGCTGGGATGATTAAATGATGAGGCTTTCCATTGGCAGCAGCCCCAGGCTCAGCAGGATTCGAGTTGATTCAAGTTCCTCCTTCTGCTGCCGCCTCTGGGTCCCTGGGGAAACCCAGGCTCACTGCCTGCTTCTTCCCCACTGTGTCAGACGCTCCACCAAGCCACCTTCTTAGCCTGGTCTCATTTGCAGATGGGGCCCAGGGCCTCACGCTCACCATGGAGCCACCCCCAGCCCCATTCTTAACGCTAATGCTCCCAGCCGGCGTGGCCATCTTGTGCTGTGGGATAAAGATCTGGGTCTGACTCGGGCTCACTTCTTTGCCAGGTGCCTGAGGCACGAGAGAAGCGCAGTACAGAGTCTGCACCAGGCACGGTGGGAGAGACAGGAGCTCAGCGTTGCAGGGCAGCCCCAGGCCCCATGGGAAAGGACAGGAGCCAGTCTCAGACGGTCCCCCATGACTTCTCTGACCTGGCTCTCACGGGTGGGGGCCACCTCCCTGTGCCCTGAGACAGACACAGCCTGGGCTCCATGGAGCTTCTCAGCAAGGGCTGGCACCGGGCCAGGCAGGGTCTTGGCTGACATCCTCTCTGGGACTTGGCTGTGTTTGCCCAAAGATGGGAGAGGTGGCATGCATGTGGGTTTCACAGCAGTGATTCAGGCTTGGCCTGGCCTTGGCAGTCAGCGGCTATAGTGGCAGCTGTGGTGCTGGCCCGCAGGAGCCGTGTACTCATCCAGGGCTCAGCCATCCGCAGACCCTGCGGGGCCCTGGCTGCAGCATGGCTGTCAGCTGTGGGTAGGGGCGTGGGCTTTGTTCTCGATCCCTGGCCCTCACCATGTGGGCTCTGCAGACATTGTCACCGTTGCAGAGGGAGCCAAGGATCATGGCCGCCTCCCTTGGGAAGCCCTCCTAAGCCCTCAGCCCTCTCCTCCCTCCATGCGTTCGTGGAGCCACAGGGGCTTTCAGGCAACCAATGTGACACCCTGCTCCGCTGCGACCCTCTTCGGGGCCCTGTCCCTGTGTGTAGGTCTGAGCCTCTTGGCCCCCCGTTCAATTCTGGCTGTGCCCCACGCTTAGGCACCCCTTCCTTTCTCTTTTTCAGGGTACTGGGGATTAAACCCAGAACCTCCGAACTGAGCTACATCCCCAGTTCTTTGCACTTTTCATCTTGCAAGAATCTTGCTATATTGCCCAGGCTGAGAGGGAACTTTGAATCATCCTGCCTCAGCTTCCCAGAGTGCTAACAGCATAGGCCCAGGCCACTGCGTCCTCTCCTTGTTGCTATGCGGCTATGCGGCCGTTGGCCTGAGGCGCCTTTGCTTCCCACCTCTTCTCATAGCCGTTCTGTCCACTTGCTGGGCCTCTGAACTGTGGGGTGGGGGCTTGAGGGTTGTATGTACCCTGCCAGAGATCTGGGGTGCAGCCTCCTGATGCCTCAAGAGGAAAGATGGCAGGAGGGAGTTGTGGCTCAGGAGGGCTAAGTCCCCAGGACCCATCGCAGCGGCCGAGGTGGGTCTAGCAGGTCGCAGAGGCTTGCTGTGCACGCGTCGTGCTCCGTGCAGAGCCCGCCCTGGGCGCTGTGGTCTCGTGCTCTCCTGGCTTCAGGTCCCCACTTACAGGAAGAGCCCGCTGTCGTGGCAGGCGCCTCCCAGTAACTCCCACTTCGCCGCAGCCAGAAGTGAAACTGCCGTGAAGTGCAGTGCAGCACTCAGAAACACCTGGGGAGGCGCCGGCCTGTCCTGGTGCCTTCAGCAGCAATAGGAGGCAGCCCAGGTGGCCACGTGTGCCCTCCCCGCCCTCTTCCTTCCTGCCTCTCTGAGCTGGGCCAGCCGCCCTCTGTCCCTGGTGGGCTTGCTGGTGGGCAGGAGCCGGCAGATGAGTCCCAGCCCCGAGGGGAGGGACTTGCTGCCAAGTGAGGTGGGCAGCCATTGGGCACAGGCCAGAAGCACCTTCCAGTGCCCCGCGTTGCCTCTGAGCCCCCCACCTCCTTCTCTGGTCACTTCCTCTTCCTTCTTGGTGCCTGGTGCCGTGCGGGATGCTTACTGCCCTGTGCCCTCCACGGCACAGCCACGGGCCCTCCTGGCATCCCTCCGCCTGCTCTAAGCTGGGGAGCCTGACAGGTGTGGACTGGCAGGCACATCTTGAGTGTCCTGTTCTGGGGGGCTCAGGCACTGGCTGTGTGTGACAGGTTTCATGCTCCTGCTCTGGCCTCTGGCATCCCGGGGTGTGTGTGCGTGCATTAAACGTGCCTGGCCCCCTCAATCGTTTCACACCTCCAGACAGTGGGCTCAAGAGGAGGACAGGGCCAAAGGTGCTGTGGAGACCCTAGACATGAAGCAGCCCATGCTGCCTCTTTGTGCCACAGCGACAAGGACGACTTTTTGCGGGGGGCGGGTACCGGGAATCGAACTCAGGACCTTGTGCCTGGCAGGCAGGTGCTGTGCCGCTGAGCTACATCCCTGGCCAGAGATGACTTTTAAAGGCAGTTGACCGAGTCTCTGAAGGCGGGTGGCAGACCCCACGAGCAGGCTGTGTGCTGGAGCCTCAGCTTCTCAGCTGTACCCGTGTGGGGGCCAGGCGGGGTCATGGCAGCAGTGGGGCATGGCAGGCCGGCCCATCCCTGCAGCGTCTGGTGAGGGTCATGGAGTGTGCCCGCACTGTCACACAGCGTGCCGCCTCTGCTTATCAGCCACTCAGTGTGTCACCACCATCCTCGGTGTCCCTGGCCGGCACTGGGCTCTCCTGCTCACGGGCCTGCCCGCTTCTGTCCTCCAGCTGGTCAGTGAGAAGGTTGGAGGCGCTGAAGGGACCAAGCTAGACGATGACTTCAAGGAGATGGAGAAGGTAAGTAGGGAAGAGCCCAGCTCCGCAGGATGCAGGTGACCGGCAGGGCTATGGGGTGGGGCAGGTGTCACAAGAGGTGGGTTCTGAGGACCAGGCAGGGAGCTGGCTGGGTAACCCACACGCTGTGTGTCTTCACAGAAGGTGGATGTCACCAGCAAGGCCGTGGCAGAAGTGCTGGTCAGAACCATTGAGTACCTGCAGCCCAACCCAGGTAGGATGCCAGCCTGCTGCCTGGTCCCTCGGGTCACCCGTGTCCTTGAGGAACCTTTGTGTCACCAGGGCATGAGATGGGAGTGAGGTGGGCTGCAGGCACAGCTGGATCCAGGGGTTCTCAGGCAGTCCTTGGCCCACGGCCTTGCTTCTCACACTGACTTGGACCCAGTGTGCAGGGCCGCCCATCCCTCTGACTTGGCTGGGCTCTGCCCGTGGAGTGTGGGACTGGTCTCTTGGGCTAACAGGGAGGTGGACCTTTTACCCAGGACAGACCAAATGCTGGTGCTGCTGTGGGAAGCTTGGAACACGGGGCAGGCAGCAAAACCAGCAACAGGCCCTTTACCCCTGTGCCACAGAATGAGGGACTAGGGGCTCTTGGTCCCAGAAGGAACCCGTCCCTTCTCCTGGGCACTCCAGTTCTCCCATGGCTGCTGGAGCCGCACAGAGGGTGCCTTCCTGGCCGCCTGAGCCAGGTACGCTTTAGGACAGAGGGTGTGAGAGGCTCCAGAGCGCCCACCAGCCCGTCCTGTTGCAGCCTCTCGGGCCAAGCTGACAATGCTCAACACGGTGTCCAAGATCCGGGGTCAGGTGAAGAACCCCGGCTACCCGCAGTCAGAGGGGCTGCTGGGCGAGTGCATGATCCGCCACGGGAAGGAGCTGGGCGGCGAGTCCAACTTCGGTGAGCAGGGTGGTGCGTGGAGGGGCTCTGCCCGCCAGCAGTGCGCCTGGGCCGTGGAGGCCGCTGTGTGACACCTGCACCTCCCCAGGTGACGCCCTGCTGGATGCGGGGGAGTCCATGAAGCGCCTGGCCGAGGTAAAGGACTCGCTAGACATTGAGGTCAAGCAGAACTTCATCGACCCCCTGCAGAACTTGTGCGACAAGGACCTGAAGGAAATTCAGGTGCTGCCCCAGCCCAGCCCCCAGGTCGCGGGCCACAGGGAAGGCTGGTGGGGGAGGGGCCTCCTGGTGACCCAGAGCCTCTGCCCACCTGCCCAGCACCACCTGAAGAAGCTGGAGGGCCGCCGCCTGGACTTCGACTACAAGAAGAAGCGGCAGGGCAAGATCCCTGACGAGGAGCTGCGCCAGGCTTTGGAGAAGTTCGAGGAGTCCAAGGAGGTGGCGGAGACCAGCATGCACAACCTCCTGGAGACGGATGTGTGTGGCCGCGGGGAGCGGGCCAGGCGCAGGGTGGCTCTGCCGTGGGGGCAGCAGGGCAGCCCCTCAGCCCTGCTGGTCCCCCCCACAGGTGGAGCAGGTGAGCCAGCTCTCGGCCCTGGTGGACGCGCAGCTGGACTACCACCGGCAGGCCGTGCAGATCCTGGAGGAGCTGGCTGAGAAGCTCAAGCGAAGGTGAGCGCCCCCTCGACCACCTTGCACCCTCTGGCGGCCAGCACGAGCAGTGCGCCCGGCCTTCCCAGAGGTCCCTTGGCTGCCGCTGTTGGGTGGGTCTCCGGCTCAGACTGGACCTCCCTGGGCTCATCCTGAGCTCCAAGAGATCAGAGGAACCAGGCAGTTCAGAGCCTGCACTGACCAGGAGCCTCCTGCTCCGAAGCACCTGGATTCTCTGAGACAACTTAGCTGCAAGGAGAGTGGGGCTGGACAGGGCCTGAGGCATTGGGCACTTGTCCTCCCTTCCCCTCCCCGTGGCCTGCGGCAGGCCCGTGCCCTTGCACAGCGCTGCTCTTCCTGTGGCCCGCTCCCTTGCAGGGTACGGGAGGCCTCCTCGCGCCCCAGGCGGGAGTACAAGCCCAAGCCCCGAGAGCCGTATGACCTGGGAGAGCCTGAGCAGTCCAACGGGGGCTTCCCCTGCGCCCCGGCCCCCAAGGCCACAGGTAGGGGGTGGGAACACGCTGTGGGGAGCAGAGCCCCTGCCGCCTAGGGGAGGGACTCAAGCGACCGGGAGCCCGTCAGTCGGTCAGCTGCCTCTGTTTTGATCACCAGCAGCCCCGTCATCTTTCCGATCTTCCGACAAGCCCATCCGGACACCCAGCAGGAGCATGCGTGAGTTTCCCCGAGGGCCCCGAGGCACAGGCGTTCCCTGCACGTGGCTGGGACGGGCTGCTCCAGGGGGCTCTCTCCTTCCTTCCCCCGTGGAGGTTGGCGCCCCTGTGGCCCTACGGCCTTCCGGCCTGGGATTTCCTGCCTCTACCCATCGGGCAGGGGAGGAGCTGTGGGGCCCCAAGGCCAGAAGCATCCAGCCTGAGGCCTCAGCCACAGCGTCAGCATACACTGGAAGGGCTGCCCTATCCCCAGCTCCAGGCTGTGTGCATGGTGGCCCAAGGGCTCTGGTCACCCCAGGTCATCCCCATGGCCCTGGGCGCGACCCTAGGCCCTCTCAGGAGCCACTTTGGTGACCACGGCAGCAAGTGTCCACTCCTCTTCCTCCCCTTCGGACACCCCGCCCCAGCGCAGTGGAAGGAGGGTTTCTCAGCCCCCCTGGCCTCTGGGTCCCGGCCGCGCCCTCACACCCTTCCCGCCCCCAGCGCCCCTGGACCAGCCGAGCTGCAAGGCGCTTTACGACTTCGAGCCTGAGAACGACGGCGAGCTGGGCTTCCACGAGGGCGATGTCATCACGCTCACCAACCAGATTGACGAGAACTGGTACGAGGGCATGCTGCACGGCCAGTCGGGCTTCTTCCCCCTCAGCTACGTGGAGGTGCTCGTGCCGCTGCCCCAGTGAGTCGGCGCCACTGTGCCGGCCACCACCGCGAGGGATCCTGGGGTCCACACGGGGCCCAGCGCAGCGCCATTTACACTAGTGCTCGCCCATGCAGGGCCAGGCTGGGCCACACTAAGGTGCTCTCGGAAACACTAACGTTCCTCCCCACCCCACCCGGCCCCAGGTCCTGCTGCCTTAACTGGGCGGTGGCTGAGCAGGGCCCTGGCCACCCGCCCTGGTGTTCAGACCCCTCCCAGCCCGTTGCTGGCGATGGGCCACAGCCCCCCTTGGGGACTCCCCAGGCATGTGTGTCCCCTGCCCTGCCTACACATACACCCTTTTCTGGGGAGCTGAGGGCCCGGACCTCCAGCCTGCCACCAGCGCCCCCTGTGGCTGGGGACCAGACCACAAGGCACCACCAGTTCCCACCCCTCTGACGCTACCTGGCCAGACATCTCTGGCACAAGCTGCCACCATCACCTGCAGGGACCACGGCCCGGCCTCCCCAGGGTCAAGCACAAAGCTGTGGAGAGCAAGGGACCCCAGAGCCCAGCTGCCAGCCCCTCCTCCTCCCTGAACTGCCAGCAGCCGTCACCGGGACCCACGGCTCCTCCCAGAGGGAGGTGGGCTGGTGGGGTTCCCACGCCTCAGGACCCCCACTGGCTTCCGCTTCCTCTCCTATTCCAAAGGCCAGCTGACAGGGGACTCCGGGGCTGGCCAGTCACATTCCCTCCACCAGGGACGCACACAGCCCCTGGGACCCGGGCTCTGCCCTCCCCATGCCCCTTGTCACCGTCACACGGGGTGCCTGCCCTACCCTGGCTTGTAGTCCAGGGTAAACGGAAATGTACTCCTGACTTTTTTAAAAGAAGTATTAAATGTCTCTTTCTATAGCCCTCAGCCTCATCTTGTGCGGGGGCCTCCCCAGGCTCCCTGTCAGCCTGGGGCACCCAGCACCTGCACCCCGTGCCCCACAAGGCTCTTGGTGCTGAGGCCAGGGACCCTCAGCCACCCAAAGTGACACACTGCTGGCTGCTCTGGATTCTTTATTGTCAGAGCCTCTGGGTCACACAGGGTGGTGACAGCAACAGATGGCAGCCACTGTCACCCAGAGCCACCTGGCGGACAAGGTGGGAAGAGGGCGCAAGGGGCCTCAGCCTGCCTGCTTGAGGACGCTGTACACCTGCTCCAGCACGTGGCTCAGCCCCTGGTCCTTGGGTGTCCTGCTGGCCAAGGAGATCTGCAACGAGCAGGGCTGGGGTCGGGCTACACCTGGGGGCCCAAGCCGCTGCCTCCTTTTTTTTTTTTTTTTTTTTTTTGTCTTTTTAAGACAAGGTCTCACTAAACAGTTCAGGCTGGCCTTGAGCTCACTTTGTAGCCCAGGCTGGTCTCGAACTCGCCACGATTCTCCTGCCTCAGCCTCCTGAGTGCTGGGATTACAGGCGTGCGCCACCACACCTGGCTGGGCCCTCCTTCCTGACCCACTGCTGCTGGGCACAGCAGGGGGAGCTACCCCGCCCCTGCCCGTGTCCTCACCCCACCTCCCGCCTGCCTGTCCCCAGTGGGAACGTGTGTAGTGGAGCAAGCTGTTCTCTGAGAATGACTTTCAGGCAGGAAGTAAGCAGGACACTAAGGTGTCTGGTTCCTTGTAAATTCCCACGGGCCAGGGGGCCAAGTTTAGAGCAGCTGCCCTGCCAGAGGGGCAAGCCCAGACGCACCCGTGTGCTGAAGGGCAGGCAGCCTGGGACTCCACACGGGGACACCCCAAGGGGTCAGGAGCTCTGGGCCTCCCAGTGTTTCTCTTTGCGCCAGGGATGGAACCTGGGCCTTTGGCGCGCCGAGCCCACACCCCGCGCCCACGCTGCGCGCCCAAGTTTGCTTTCCTCCTCCGTCTGCCCGGCCACATGTCCTGGCCAACACCACTGACCTTGAGCTTGTCGAGGTAGCTGTGCTCTGGGCTCCAGGCCTCCTGGAACCTCACGAGATCGGGGGCACCCTTGTAGAAGTCCACCAGCAGCATCTGCGCAACAGGACACGGACTCCTGCCTCCCTCCCTCCCTGCAGCCTGCAGCGGTGACCAAGTCACACTAGCAGGGTGACAGACAGCTAGGGCCACAAAGGAGCTTGGGGCAGCCCACCAGGAGGCCTACCTAGGGCACGTCCCAGAGGCTTTTAGCGGGAGTCTGGGAATCCCCCAAGTTGCCTGTGTGTACCTTAAATTTATGCTGTAACTCCAAGGCCCTGGCCCCTCAGCGCAGCCTCAGCCAGGCAGTTAACACCCCTGAGGCTGAGAGGTGCAGTGAATGAGTCCAGCTTTTCTGCTGTGGTTTTGGTTTTTTGTTTGAGGTTTGGGACAAGTTCTTAACTGTGTAGTCCAAGTTGGCCTCAAACCTGGGATCCTCCTGCCTCAGCCTCCCAAGTTTGCCATCACACCCAGCCTCAGCTTCTTTTTTTAACACACTGCATAGTTATTAAAAATGTCCATCCTGCCTGCGGAATACAGCCCAGTGGTAGAGCCCTTGCCTAACCTGCATCAGACCCTGGGTTCCACACTCGTCCCGCAGAAGAACTGCACATCTGATGTCACGGGTGCTGCCCTACCATCCGGCCTCCATCTCTACTCAGAGGCTGGACACTGGATGGGAGTGGGAGCCCAGGCCAGGACTCATCCAGTGGCAAGGCAGCCGTCTCAGCACACCCCGGGCCCCACCGCCCCCACGGGGAGAGGCGCACCATCTCATGGAGGACGTCGTTGGTCAGGAAGCTGTCCTGCACGTAGGCCATCTCCACGTCCATGGGGATGCCATAGTCACTGGGCCTTTGCTGGACGGATGGGGTGGGGGTCAGAGACACACAGGCCTTGGAGGTCAGCAGCTCTCCCAGCCAGGCCTCCCACAGCAGCGCCCCTACCTCAGGAGGCGGCATGACCCAGAAGGGTGCAATCTTGGACTCAGGGCCGGGGTTGCCGGTATAGTAGGGGGCTGAGGGTGGACAGGGAGAGTGGGCTGGGACCTGGGGTCACCACCTGCAAGGCGCCCCTGCCCGCCTCCCCAGGCCGTGCCTCACAGCAGAGCAGGGCAAGGCAGGGCTGGAAGCCGTTGCTGGCGCCCTGCAGCCGCAGCTGGTAGTCCATCTGCGCGTCGATGTCCTGCAGCGAGGGCAGCGCCGGGCTGTGTGGGTGGCTGTGGTACCAGCCCACCAGGGACAGGCCCCGCAGGAACAGGCTCTGATAGATCTGGGGACAGGGACTCACGTGACCCAGCAGAGCACCAGCTGGACACCAAGCCCCAGCCCTGCTCCCACCACACAGTACCAGTATGGGGACACCCAAGAAAGACCGCTATGAGTGGGTGCCCTGGCTCGCACCTGTCATCGCAGCTACTTGGGGGGCTGCACAGGAGGAGTGCAAGCCCCAGGCCCGCCCGGGCCACTGAGCAGGACCATGTCTCAAAAAGTAAAAAAGCTGAGTGCCCTCACGAACACCTATAATCTCAGTACTCTGGGAGGCTGAGGCAGGAGGATTACAAATTTGAGCGCATCCTGGACAACTTCGTGAGGCTTAAAAACTTAAAGGGGAGGGAATGTAGCTCAGTGGGACTGCATCCTTGGGTCAATCTCAGTACTGAAAAAAGAGAGGTGGTGGCCACGCATGGAGTTGAGCAGGCGGGGACATCCCGGATGTCACAAAGGGAGGTGGGGGCAACAGCACGCTGCGCTCACTGGGCCTGTAAGGCACCAGGCCTGAAAACTCACATTTCACAGATGAAGAAACTGAGGCTGGGGGACTGACAGGGTTCCAGGCAGACACTGTGTTCCCTGCGGGGACAGCATGCCCTCCCTGGCCCTCCCAGGCAGCCCCTCACCTCCTCCTCAGTGGCGGCCGCGGCCTCGGCATCCCCGAGCCGGCTCCGACAGGGGAAGGCCCTCAGCACCGTGAGCACTGCGGGAGAAGCAGGCGTCCTTCCTGGCCCCACACGCCCCGCCCTCCTGGCCCCAAATACCCACTCTGACTGTTGATGTTCCAGCGGCCCCCCAGGTAACCCACGACCTCGCTCCGCGTCAGGTGGCTGTGGAAGTCCTGGGTGGGGAGGGGAACACTGGGTCAGCTCCTGCCCCACGCAGAGGGCCAGCCCCCCCTTCGGCATTGTACCCTATTGCCTGCCAGTAACATTTACTGAACACCTACTGTTTACTGCTAATGGGTTTTGAGCACTTACTGTTTACCAGGAGCAAATGTAGCAGACACATTCTCTCTCTCAAGGGGCTGTCACTGCAAAGCCTGCTCCTTCCCTCTCTCCCTCTCCAATGTCCCAGGCCCCAGAACACTGAAGGACAAGGTGGCACTGGGGTCACATACCAGCAGAAACAGCACGTTGCTGGAAACGGCCACGTTGAACGGCTGGAACTTGTTGATGGCCGAGAAGGATGTTACCTCCACCAGGGTGTGTGGGCTCCTGGGGCGGGGGTGGGAGGGTCGCAGCCTCAGGAACCCCCAGGTTCTTCCTCACCCCCTAAACCAGCTCCTTGCCCGCTCCCTGCAGCTCTGAGGCTCTGTCACCACCCCGCCCTTGCTCCCTGACACCAAGCAAGGGCTCCAAGGGGATGAGGGGTGGGACGGGTTCGTGGCGCAACTGACCTGGCAGAGTCGCGACTGCCCAGCATGCAGTAGCGGACCGGCACCCGGATCTTACTTTCTGTGCGCTTCCCTGGGGGCGTGGCCTCTGGGAGGGGACAGAGAGGGAACAAAAGCAATGTCAGGGGGCTGGGGATATAGCTCAGTGGCACAGCACCTGCCTGGCAAGCGCAAGGTCCTGAGTTCGATTCCCGTTACCAAAAATAAGTCAAACAGGCATCCTGGGAGGCAGTAACGCAGATCAAAGCCCCACCTTTGCCCAGCCTCCTCCTGCCCGCCCCCGTCCCACTCCCCACCCTCGCCCCTCACCCATGTGCCCAGTCTCCGTGGGACCCTTCCCAGGGGGTCTCCGACTCTTGTCCTCCGTTGAGACCCCCACCAGAACCTCCTCCTCCTCTTCCTCCATCAGCAGCTCCTCCTCTTCTGCTTCACTGGCTGGGCTCTGGTGGGGCGGGGGTAGCACAGAACCTCACCAGGATGACCCCCTCACCCCCCATCTTCCCTCCGGCCAGTAGACCTGAGCCCTAGGTGCTATTGCCTGGATTAGCCACTAGAGGGTGAGAATGAACAGAGAGGCACACAGCGCGTGCGCAGCTCAAACACCTTGGCAGAGGTCTCAGGTTTGAATTCTGCCTCTCTCTCTTACAAGCTGCGTGAGCTCCGGTGAGCCCCCTAATCCCTCTGGGCTCTATTTTCACCTGTGAAACGGCACAATGACCATAGGCCCCATAAGGAGAAATAAGATAACGGGTGCAAAACACCAAACATACCCCGGGCTACCCTCTTTGAGCAAAACAGGGGTTATTACAACATCCCTCAATTCCTTCTCTTCCCACTGTCCCACAGTTGCGCTTCCCGTGGCGACCTCTTTGGGTCTAAATCCACCCCTGTCCACTGTCTTAGCACTGGCCCCACACCCAGGTACCGCCTCCTCCCATCTCTCCAGCTTTTCTTTCCCCTCTTGGACCCAGGGCTGGGTCCTCAGGCCTCTTCCACCCTCACCCTCACAGCTTGTCCTTCCCGCGGCAGCCACGAGAGGGCACCACGAGCACGGAGTCCGGTCCCGCCAGCCTCTCTCAGACCTCCGTGACTCCCACCTCCCTGGGACCAAAGCCCAAGTCCTCCCTGCAGCCCACTCCCCTCCTCCGTCTCCAAGCTCTCGCTCCCTCTGCTTCGGCCGCATAGCCTCCTTGCTGCTCCGCACTGGGCTCCATCCTGCCCTGGGCCTTTGCATGTGCTGTGTCCTCTCTTCCTGCAGCTCTCTACCCAGCTGTAACCTACTCTGTGGCCCGGTCCTGGAGACACTGCGTCTAGCTTGGCACCCCTAATTCAGCAGTGAGTTGGGGAGGACAAACCTCATCGGCAACAGCTATGGGGATGTGCAGCTGGTGTCGCCGCAGCCAGGCAGCCTTGTACTTGTCCAGTTTCTGGCCCTTGTACTTGACTGAGGCCCAGCCGCAGCCAGACTTCTTGGCGGGGTTGACCAGCTTCTTGCAGTGGGTGGCCCAGGCACTGGGGGAGTTGAACACCTGCCCGGTTTCCTGCCACACGATCCTCCCATCCGGCTGCAGGTCTCCAATGAACTTCTTCCCCTAAGGGCGGGGCAGGGTCTGTGTGGGTCACTGCTGTGGACTCAGCACCCAGCGCTCAGGCTTCCATGTAGCAGGCGCTTAACTCAAACATTAAGTGATAATCAGAGGGCGTGGTGGCACACCTGTCCCCCCAGCACTCGGGGAGACTGAGGCAAGAGGATTGCAAGTTCAAGGCCAACATGGGCAATTTATCAAAACCCTGTCTGAAAGTAAAAAAAAAAAAAGGCAATGACAGTGATGGTAATAATAACACACCCTGTAATAAAGCTCTTTCTGGGAAACGGCGACCTGAAGAATGCTTTATTCATTTAATGCTTGTGCAAGGGTTCTGGGAAGAAAAATACCCCATTTTACAGATGGGGGAACTACTGCTACCAGAGGGACAAGCTGAGCGAAGCCACAGCCCGGTCAGCGCTGGTACGGCCCGGCTGGTGCTACGCAGGCGAGGGCCTCTTTCTTTGCCTCAGTTTCTCTTTTGTGAAACGGTGCGTTATGTGTGCTTGTGTCGGTTCTGGGAACTGAACCAAGGTCCTACATCACCAGGCCTTTTAAAATTTTTTTACTCTGAGGCAGGGTTTTGCTAGGTCACCAAGTTGCCATGCTGGGCTCAAATCTGAGATCCTCCTCGGCCCCTCAGGGCACTGGATGACACGCACGAGAGGCTGGGACGCAGCACTCAGGGAACCGTGTCCTCCAGCCCCGAAGACCTCCGCGCAGTCTGCATACTCCATTCCTCCGTTCCTGCTCCGCATACAGGGGCTCATTCTGCAGCCAGAGCTCCGGGGTTCAGCTTCCCCCTTGCCCGAATCGGATGGGACGCGGAGCGCTCGCTCACCAGGTAGTAGATGGAGAGCACCCCGGCGCCCGGCTCCAGCAGCGCGTCCTTGAGCAGCACCCGCAGCGTGACCGCGCGCCTGGTGAGCGCGCCTCCCAGCGCGCC